ACTTTATATATATATATATATATATATATATATATTATTAGACTGTTATTATTCAAAGTATAGTAATTTCTGATGAACACATTTGAATAAGAAAGCTATTCAGCAATAAAAAATTGTTTTTAGAGAATAATGAATATTAACTTGCTGTACCCTTTTGTATTATCTATTATTATAGCAATCTTACTGTAAGAAACAGTGGTTATGTTTGTACCTTGGTATAAGTGAGCAATATATTTTGAAGCTACACTATTTATTGTTTAGCTCAAACAAGATAAACATGAACAGTACCATCACTATAGCTTGTTATGTAACCTATTACTATTAGGTCACATCCTCACAATCATTAAGTGTGTACATACCTTCACATTAATTTTTGTCAATGGAAGAAGGACTAGATGTCATGTTGTGTGTGAATTCATTTGGTATGTAGCTGAAGCTTAACAACATTTTGTTATGATAAAGCTGTTAAGGATGTCTAAGGTATTATTATGTGATGGTCAATCCTATTTGTTGGTAAAGAGTAGCCCACGAGTTGGCAGTGGGTACTGTCAGCTAGTTGCTTTCCCTCTAGCTGGCAGCTCAAAATTAGGTACAGTAACAGATAGATTTAATAATAATAGCTTTGTTGTTGCACAAGAACAAAAAATATATCAAACCTGTAACCATTGAATCACCGAGAATTCTTACCTGAAATTGATTAGTATCTTGACTTGTGATGGAATATTTCAGGTACTTGCTTTTTTTTTTTATTGTGGATTATTAAGAAAAATCTTTTCAAATACAATCTTGATAAGGTCACATTCCTTGTAGAAGTACAAGTTCTCACTTGGATCAGTGTGGTTGTTTTACTGTACTTGCTGCCGAGCATATCCTAAAGTTCTGATCTAATGAATATGAGCTAATTGATGGCGAAAATACAAAATGGTCACATCAGAAACATTTACAATACTATGAATGACCTTCGATATTATGATTTACCCCTTGAAGTATAAAATATCTCTGTTTAGCCAAAAAGTACTTGTATATTTATATGAAGTATGGTTATTAACATGTAAGAAAAGGTACATTCCTTAAATTATCTAAATTACCTCACTTATACTTATTTGCCATTAGAATATACATAATGAAGCCAACAACAACTGACAGAGATAATAGTTATTCTAATAACATTTTTATTTGACATACATTCTACATAAATAGTTACTGATTTACTTCATTTTAATCTGTAGATGATGAATAAAGACTTGTATAAACCATAGTGAAACATGTTACTAAAAATTTTTAATAAGTTTTAGACAAAAGAAGATGAATAGTAAGAAATAATAAATTTTGATTACTTGACCTGGAAGTCATATAAATTTGTATCTTGATATAAGTGTATTTGTTCATATCTTGTTTTATTGCAGTTGTTATGCAGCCAGTGGCTACACATATCATACATTATTTGTAATTGTACCAATTAATTTTCAATAGGCCCCAATGGCTCACTGGTAAGTCTGAGGGCTTTAATGCTGAAATGTGGATTTCGATACTTTTGATAGGCACAGCACAGATAAACCATTCTGAAGCTTTGTGATTAATAATAAAGAATGAAAATTTCCAAGAGATATCATTGAACTTTTGACCTCCTCTAAGTTTTCTCATTTTCTATCACCTCTCTATCCTAACCTTTATAATGGAACCCCATTTCTTATAACCATTTCTGTTTCCCATTTATAGCATTACTAGGTATCTTTGTTAGTGTTTTATCATTATTAAGTATGTGTACAATATACTGCGCTGTTGTTTACAAACTTTTAATTTATATTTCACATAGGTGAAATCAGAATGCAGGCTTCCTGTTTTAGCTGTTCGCTCATATACTATTCCTTCGATCCTCCAAACAGAAGGACAACAAGTTGGAGCAAGTTCTGTAAAAGGAAAGAAAATTAGCAAAGCTATGAAAGCTTACTTGGAGAGGGCACTAGAACATGGTAATGTTGTCACTCTTTGCAAATTTCTTATGTATTTTAAAAATATATTTTTCAGTGTAGACTACAAGTACATTAAATTTTGTAGTGTTTGATTTGGTTATATGTGAGGAAGTTATTTACTCTGCTTAATGTTAAAATACTTGGAAATTAAGTAGATATACAATATTTTAAGGGAAATGATAAATGGGATGAGAAGATGTGAGGATAGGTAGATTATTTTTTGTGAAATGTATGTTAGCTGTATTAAAATAGAAATTTATGCAGCTAATGTGTAATATTCATGTAGAAACTTTAATGTCCCATGTTATCAAGAATATAAACTTTAAATTCAAGGTAAGGAGGCCAAAATAATGTATTTACAGTAGCCATACATTCCAGCAAAGGTATACTCGCGTAGTCTAAAATTTGAATCTAATGCTTGGCAGGTAAAAGGTATTTACGATAAATCAGTATGGGGAAAAAGTGACTATACAGTTGTTAGGAAATTTGTTGGTGTGAATAAAGGAATGCCTTATGTGGTTGATTTCTTCATCTATGTATTATGTTGAACAGAGTCTGGTGGCTGTGTTTTTACATTTCATGGTTTAAATATGGGCAATTCTGTTTCACCCATTCTTGCCAATATATTCATGACCCAGATTGAAACACAAGCCATACATTCTGCTCTTCATCCCCCACTATACTGGTACAGATCTGTTCATGATGCTTTTGCTGGTTTCACTTCTACAGAACACACTATCTTTCTTTGAGCACATAAACTCCATTAATCCCAACATCAAATTTACCATAGAACACCAAAACAATAAACAGTTATCTTTTCTTAGCTTCAACGTTATTAGATCGGACACACAGTTTAAAACCAAAATTCACCGTAAGAACACACAAACTGGTTTCTATATCCCCTGGAATTCTGCTTATGACACCACACAAAAAATCAATACACAGAAAAACCTCATAGACACAGCCACAAGACTGTTCAATGGAGTACATAGATGAAGAAATTAACCACATAAAGCATTCCTTCATTCACACCAACAAATTTCCACCAGCTATTGTTGAAAAACTCTCTATCAGTTACCACAACAAAACTCAACTCACGAACAAAATTGATATTAACAAACCCAACAACAGAACATT